AAAATGTGGCACATATACACCATGGAATACTATGCAGCCATAAAAAACGATGAGTTCGTGTCCTTTGTAAGGACGTGGATGAATGTGGAAGCCATCATTCTCAGCAAACTGACACAAGAACAGAAAATCAAACACCGTATGTTCTCACTCATAGGCAGGTGTTGAACAGTGAGAACACATGGACACAGGGAGGGGAGCATCACACACTGAGGTCCGTTGGGGGCAACTAGGGGAGGGACAGCGGAGGCTAGGGAGTAGGGGAGGGATAAAATGGGAAGAAATGTCAGATATAGGTGATGGGGAGGAATGCAGAAAACCACATTGCCATGTATGTACCTATGCAACTATCTTGCATGTTCTTCACATGTACCCCAAAACCTAAAACGCAATAATATATATATATATATATATATATATATATGTATATATATAAAAGTGCATCAAAAGGGCAAAGATAAAGCCATGTGAAATGTATCTTTCTACAAGTTAACATTTATTTTTCTGCATTCTTTAGGTCCAATTGTTCAACTAATTATCAATCTACTGTACCTTATCCATTCTATGTTTCTCCATTTTTTTCCTCCCACAAGGACACTATGAGAAATCTTGCCCATTCACATATAAACAGCCTGGTCTAGCTTAGATAGAACCTGAAAATTCTATTTTTTAAAAATCTCCAGATAATTCTAATGTACAGCCAGGACTGAAAACCACTGAAATGCATGTAAGAGCTTAAAGTGTTTGGTAAGAGAAGGGACTCAAGGGTGCTTAGATTCAATGGAGTGGAAGCAGTGGAGATTGAAGAAGAGGTAGAGAGAGACCATGAGGGATTTTGTGCCATGGTAAGGGATTTAGGTTTATTCTTTTGGACAACGGAATCTTGTGGAAGTTTTAAGCATAGGATCTATTTTATGTTTTAGGATGACTCTCAAGGCCGAGCCCAAGGGAAATAGGAGAAACAGATCCTTCAATCAAGTGCTTCTTAAATCAATCTGATGGAGAGAACCATTTCCTTCCTTTCTTCCTCCCTCTCTCCCTCCCTCCCTCCCTCCCTTCCTTCCTCCCTTCCTTCCTTCCTTCCTATCTTCCTTTTTCTTCCTCCATCCCTCCTTCTCTTTCCCTCCCTTCTTTCCTTTCTCCCTCCTTTATTTCCAATCCATTGCAGATGAATACTTGGTTAAGTTCATCAATTACATGCTTAGATGTCATGGAAATGGCAAATTGTTTTCAAAAGTTTATAAACATTTATTCTCTTAATTCCTGTACTTATCACAGAATGGAAGCAAACTATTTGCTCATGTGCAGTGTTCCACAGATTACACCTGGAGTAGCACTGCTTCACTCTGTCACCTTCACTTTACCTACAGGGTAAAGTTTAAACACTTTAGTATGGCATAGATGGTCCCTCATGATCTGGCCCCTGCTTATCTCTCCATTCTCATGTCTTTTATTTTCCCTAATGAGCACCATTGCTCCAGTTTCATTCAACATCTCACCGTTCCCTGGGAATGCTTTGTCTTTTCCAACCTCCTTTCATTTTTTAGGCTCTGCTTTCTACCTCCCTTCTCTACATGACCGATGCCTACTTCTTCTCCAAGACACAGCTCTATGTTTCCTCCTCTTTGGACCCATTATTGAATCTCCAGGTTATTAGTTATTAATTTCTCCCTGCTTCTATACTATTGCATCACTTTTTGGTGACAGTTATAGCACTTGTCATTCTGTTACATATTAATGTTATTGATTTCATGGCTGCCTCATTGTCCTATGACCTTGTGGTCTTTGACTTGTTCATTTCCAAATTGTCAAAGTGTAGGACATATTACAGTTTCAATAAATGCTGAATGAAGAAAATGCACTTCTCTGCGTATGTGTAGATAAGAAAAATTCTTTGGGTTTTGGTAGATCTGGTTATTTCAATTACTCCACAGATATTTATTATGTGCTTATAGCACTTTGTGCTAGTTGACAGTGGGGAAACTTAACTAGGCTATTCCTTCTCTACATACAGAAAGATACATGGCAAAGAAGTAAATTGCTGTATTTTGAGGAATCAAAAAATCATGTGGCCAAAGGATATCTTTATATTAGCATTCCCTTCAGCAAAATTTCCATTGTTAACATTGTTTATTATCTTTAATTTGCAGTTGAACACAATTATAAATACAATGAGCACCATCTACAGTACTGGAAAAGTTTGTAACCCAAATTATCCACAAGAATGCTTATTACTTGAACCAGGTGGGCTACTAATTTTGAGTAGTGATTATGAAATTCACTCTTCTCCCAAGTTTTAAAAATGATTGCAAATATGTGTTTCAACACATAGATGCTCTTTTAACTTTTAGTAAAACTTCCTTGTAAATTTTTATCACATTTACTTAATTTAATCAAGTTAATAATAGTTATTTCAGTGGTTTATTTCCTTTGCAGACATATTTTGGAACTATAAGGGCAAGGAAATGAATAAATCATGAGATTTTATTTAATCACTTTATGACCTAATGTCTGCCAACCTTACTTTTAATTCTTTAAAGTTAGTGTAGTTGTTTACAAATAAAAGTTTTACAAATGCATCTTTTCTTCTCTTTGGGTGCTTTGGGATAACAGGTTTGAATGAAATAATGGCAAAGAGTACAGACTACAATGAGAGGCTCTGGGCGTGGGAAGGCTGGAGATCTGAGGTCGGCAAGCAGCTGAGGCCATTATATGAAGAGTATGTGGTCTTGAAAAATGAAATGGCAAGAGCAAATCGTAAGTTTGCTGATCTGTAGAGGTCCTGAAGCTCTCTGTGTGGCCGCGGGGCTATTTCTCCTGCATTTCCAAGCCTGCCCTTTGATATCAGGGATACCCCTCAATTAACAATCATCTCCTGAACAATTCAGATTACCTGTTTTGAAAAGAAATTACTGAGGAAAAAAAAAAGGTGCACTGGCATTCTACTATTCAAGAAGCTCAAGAATGAGACTCAACTATAAGGCCTAAAATAAATTATCCAGGAATTATGAATTATAAGTAATCCAGGAAAATCTCAGGCCCATAAAGGCTCCTGAGGGAGTCTGGGGATTAAGAGGGGATCCCATTTCTCATGATGAGAGACAGAGTCACTGTCTTTTGTCTAAAGCCCCCACAGTTCACTTTCAAAGGTCATTTGTGTGTCTACCTTAGGGTGATGCCCCAGAAAGACAAAAAGTCAGATTAGGCTGAAAACGTATTACTTTCTGCAGTATATATCTCAAATTATGTGGTCATAAAAATCTTAACATAGGAAGGAATTTCCATGTCTCTTAACTTATTCTCCTCCCAGAATAATGAGCTGAAGTCATGGTATCATGATTGACATTGTGTTTTGATGATTCACTGCCTGCTGAGGTTGAATAAGGAAGACTTTATTCCCCATTTGTTGTTTTAAAATTTCTTCCACTGCCACTTAAATTCAATATTCTTAAGACTTAGGCAAGCTGGAGACAATTGCTTATCACCATTTTAAAAATAATATCCTGGATGTCCTTTCATCCAAATATTTATTTCTCTTCTCATCTTCCCAATCATCAATTGCCAATGTGAATGCAAAAATAAAAATTATTAAATTATGTTTACAAACTTTATTAGCTAATATTCTAACATAAGCTTGTGTTTCCTGATGGTGAGATACTAAAGGAAGCACATAGAATCATGCTATTGATACGTGTAATTTGCAAACACAGCTCCCCTGTGGCAAAGTCTAAGATGAGCTGGGTCTGATCTAAAAATTACAAGACCCTGAACAAAAGGATAATTTAAAAACTTAGAGATCCAGTTATATATTTTAAAGCT